CAGATCCACCCGTGCACTGTCAGGGCAGGGAGACCCCGCCCTGCTCCGGCCCCCCAGCTGGACACTCAAGGCAGATCCACCCGTGCACCGTCAGGGCAGGGAGATGCACGAAGAATAAACGCCACCCCCAGGCGACACCGGCTCCGGTCAGCTGTCTGGCCCGGTCTCGGACTGCAGCTCTCCCCCAGCCCCCCGCCACGAGCCCGGCCTCAGTGCTTACGGCTTTCTGCTCGCTGATGAGCTTGCAGTTCTCCCGGGACTCCTCCTCCTGCTTGGCCCACTTGGCCTCCAGAGACTCCTTGTCAGCCAGATCCACCTTCATCTGTGCCTCCAGGACCTGCAGCCCAAAGGACACGTCACCCTCAGCGTCACGTTCATGGATCTAGACTGTCAATAAGACGCTCCCCTCTGCCTGCAGCAGCAGGAAGGGGCTCTGGGTACTGATCCGCTGGCGGAGCAGAGGAGACTCACCTTGATCTTGTCCTCGTACAGCCTCTCCTTCTGGGCCAGGTGAGCCTCGATCCGCTGCGCGGCGGCCTGGGCCTCCCGGAGGTTCTCCTCCAGCTCCTGCGGGGCGACGGGGCACGGAAAAGAAAGTCGTTATGCGCCCCCCCCCGATTCTCTCTGCCCCCTGAGTGGCGATCAGCGGGACGAGGAGGGGGGAGCGCTTCCAGAAGGGCAGGATGAGAAGGCGGTGCCCGCAGGCCCTGCACGAGGGAGCGGGGGCTCGGCCTTGCTGGGGTCTCTCTCTCTCTCTCGGGGGGGTCCCTGTGCGCATGGGAGGGCAGGGGTGCTCTCCTGCGCTCCCCGGGGAGAGGGTCCCACACGGCGTTCCCTCTTACCAGGATCTTGTCGGCCATCTGCTGGATCTGCTGGGATTTGGTCTGGATGTCGTCCTTCAGCCTGTTCTCCCGTCTCTCCACCATCTCCAGGCGCTTCACGTGGTTCTCCAGGGTCTTCCTGCCCTCCTGCCGGAGCACACGGACAACCGTCCGTCAACCGTTTATCGATCAATCCGCGAGTCAAACGACCGCCTGGCTCCCGGCGACGAGGGCCCGTTTGCCGGCTCTCTGCAACGTGCCGACGCCGAAGGCAACGGGGAAACGGATGTTGCGCTTGATCAAAACCCCCTCGGCGGTCATTTCCCTTCCGGGAACAGGCCGCGCCCCCCCCCGCGCACCTCGGTCTCGCGCAGCCGCCTGCGCAGGCTGTCCGTGGAGTCCTCGCGGCTGTGCAGCCTCTCCAGCTCCCGCTCCAGGCGCTCCTTGGCCTGCCGGATGTTCTGGAGCAGCTCCGTGGCCTCCGTGCTGGCTTTCACCGCCTGCCGGGCGGGAAGAGGGTCAGAGGTCAAACCGCTGGCTCTCCCCTGCGAGAGCCGGGTACCCCCCGCCTTCCTGCAGGTTGTGGGGCCTAGGCCTGGGGTGGCTGGCCCGGAGGTTAAACTGTTGGGCCTGTGACTGTTGGGGGGTCCTGGCCGGAGCCCCAGCTGCGTGTTGGTGTGGGGTGGCGGGGCCTCTCGGTTTTGCACCCCAGAGCAGCCAGCGTTACCTTGGCCAGTTTGTCCTGCAGCTCCTGGATTTTGAGTTGCTGTTCTCCATTGGTCTGGAATAAAACATGACAGGGAAAAAAAACATCAGCAGATAAATCCATCCCGCAGACAGGTAACACTTGAACCACATTAAACTGATTATTAAACCGTCACACCACAAACCATGTGGCCCTGGTGAAGCAAATCTTAATTTAAAGAAGATTTAGAATTACACCCAGGCCTCCCCATCTGCATCTTAGTTTAGAGAGGCAAGCCCAGGGCTCACTCAGCGTTACAGCCTGGAGACCCCTCATCCAGCCGGAGGAGGGAAGGGCACAGCAGGGGATTCGAACCCGTGACCTTTCACCTTCCAGGCGAGAGCCCCGTCCTAGCTCTGCTGACCGTGGCCCACACAACGGCCACCTGACCCACCCCGGTCGCCGTCGGCGAGGACTGCACCGCAGCGTTCAACAGCAAAGACGACAACAACACCAAAGAAAGTGGTGGGAGCGTGAAAATGAAAACGTTTTTCCGCACCTTTTCCAGCTTGGAGAGGAGCTCCTCCACTTCGGCTTTGCCCTGCTCCTTGGCCTGCAACAGAGAGGCAGGGATGAGCAGACGGGCTGGGCTGGGCTGGGCTGGGCTGGGCTGGGCTGGGCTGGGCCGGGCCAACGAGGAGCCTGGAGGCTATGCTACTAGAGGCTTTCTTTATTGTCTAAAACTTCTATCACTTCTCAGATTCAAATACAGAAAGACGTCTGCTTAACACCCCCCACGTACCACCCAGGCGCCCGGCAGCCCGGTACCTTCTGGATCTTCTGCTGGTACTCGGCGGCCTTCCTCTTCAGCTCCTCGCCGGTCAGCCGCGACTCCTTCAGCTCGCTCTCGTACAGGTCGCTCCGCCGCCGCGCCGCCGCCAGGTCCTCCTCCAGCTGCCGGACCGCCACGCGCATCTCCTCCAGCTGGGCCTGGTACTCCTGGCGGCGGGGCCGCCGGACACGGAGAGAGACGGATCAGATCCCGCCCGCCGCGGCACGAGCCTTTGACTTCTCATGCAGCTCGCCGCTCCATGGGGAAAACAATTCCTTACGCTTCTATAGCTCTTTTCTGGGCACTCCACTCGAAGTGCTCCTCAGGTAATAAGGAATCCCACTACTGCCACCAATGTGCAGCCCCATCGGGATAATGCAATGGCAGCCATTGTGCACCAGTACGCTCCCCACACACCCTCTACTGGCCCCACTAACACCTCTTCCAGCAGCAGCCTTAGCTTTCCCAGGAGTCTCCCCTCCAGGTACTGACTAGGCTCACCCTGCTGGGCTTCAGTGGGCTCCCGGTGGCGAGTCGCAGGGTGATAGGGCTGCTGGCACAGCACCTCCAGGAGGTGAGACCTGGAGGTTTGCAAGAGTCCGCATCTCTGCAGGACCTACGAGGATCCCGTAAGGTCAGCGGGCTGACCTGAGACCCGGCCCAGTGCCAGAGGTCACCAGACCCGCCAGCCCTGATCTTTCACCCAGGAGCCAAGCCGACATCAAGAGGCAGAGCACCCCGAAAGGCACGGGCACTCCGCTCGTCGTGCGCCCGGTTTTAATTGAGCACCAATTAGGCAGAGGGATCGTTCACCTCCTGCAATGACAGGCTTGAAATGAGAGACGGGGAGACGAGAGAGGGAGGGAGGAAGCATGGCTGGAGGAAAGAGGACCAATCATTACATAACAAAGCTGCATGACTGGGGAGCAGGGACCTGGAGTTTGGGGTGTACAGATATAGCACTGAGCAAGCTGTGAGAGAGGCCACCCCAGGTCAGCACTGACCTCAGAAGCTCTCTGTGCCATCAGGCTGAACAGTCTTACTGGCACAAGTCAATTACAGCTGCAGTAAAGCCACCCTGAGCGGAGCACATTAATCCCCCGTCACGAGAAGCACCGCTCATTTTCCCTCCTTTACGAAGCTCAGATTAATCTTCTTTTTCTCTGCTGAAGCAAATCCTGACTGGGCCTCTGCCGAGCCGGAGTCTGCCCTCCGATCACTTCATCGCCCCCAGCGCAGAAGGAATTCTTCACGGAAAAGAAGCAATCGGATTTGATAGGATTTTCAGTTCTCACTGTGAGATTTTCAGATGCAATTAGATCCCCAATATTGAGCAGTCAGGCAATGAAGGGAGAGAAATGGGACCCAGGGTCACAAAAGGAGCCCTAAAATCATTTTGTCCACAAAAGCACAATTCCTCACGACAGTGCAATAGCATTTATCTTTGGCAATTTCATTATGAAAGCACACATACTGAGACACACCTGAACAAATCATGATCTCCACTGAGCATACTTAATTACAACCTGCCTTTTAATTACAGCTCCTGGTTCAATTACTTGTGCCTTATCATCATGAACACTTCCTTCTCAAGCACACACACTGAGACACACTTGACTGTACTGTAGATACTGCTGTCCCTCTCCTCTCACACTCCCCCTGAATTCACACACTGAGACACACCTGACTGGACTGGAGACACTGCTAGAGACACTGCTGTCCCTCTCCTCTCACACTCCCCCTGAATTCACACACTGACAC